TCAAAACCACATATCTACCCATCAAAATTTACCCACATTTAACTACCAACTTTACCCATATTTAACTACCAACTTGTTCTTTCAAAACCACATATTCACCCACCAAAAGTTTCATCCATTTAAAACCCAATCCACATAACCTTCCCTATCCGCTTCTTGGAAATCCCAAAACGTGTTCACCTTTTCAGGATCGTCTCTTATCAATGAAATTGCTTTATACTTATCCCGTTGGGTCAACGTCTGCATTTTTAATATCTCAGGAGTGATCATCGAACGTTTTTTTATCAACTTCGTCTTCTCGTTCTATACCCCTGCTAAGTTTGTTCGCCATTTTCTCCAAAGTTTCTCCAAGTTTAGTAACCGCATTACTAAATCCGTCAGCCATGGGATCTACTTGACGTTTTCTCTTCTTACGACGCACAATTGAAGTTTCTTCAAATTGCATATTTGCGTTCCCACCTTGAACATTGCTAGTTGCAATTACGTCATCAGACTCGTCATTCAGGTTTTGTGTTTGATCTTCTGTACGCGCCTCCTGTTCCGCCTCAACAAAATCTCTTGCTCTATTTCCAGTGGCACGATCTTTTCCGAATACAATACAAAGATCCTCATAAAAAGGATATGTTTTATTCTTCCATTTTTCCGCCCCTTTATGGACCTATTTCATAACAGGAATTATTAAATATACATATAACTATGATTACATATCCTGCAAATATAAATACCAAGTTCTTTTGAGCATGTACCTGAAGATACGACTCCCAAACTTGGTCTTCCGCAACGACACAATGCTTCACACTATCGTATCCGAAGCCACTAGTATATGAACCATTAATCATGTCATGCACAATAGTCCAATCTTTCTTCATTATTTTTAACTTTGATTCGATGTGTGGTTTCCCTAAAATCCCGGAGCCTGGCAAAGATTCTTTTAACGATTGTTCAAGAAATGTTAAATAACCCGATTTAAAGCCATTRTCGGCTTTAAATGYTCYYRTATTCACCATAGTAAGTAAAGCTTCAACGAGTTTTGTTTCTTCAATATTCGTCCAAACTCTATAATTTCTATTTTGACTCGTCATACCTACAAACATAAATGAATTAAAAGTATAACGCCATTTAATTATCCATGTCCAAACTCCATAGTTTCTATTACAAAACAAACATTAGATTTCAACAAACATGGCAAGTATGAGTTAAACAAACATTAAGGATGAGTTGAACAAATATTTGAATCATACAAATTAATTGGTAGCATTCCAAGAATCAAACATAGATTGTGYTAAATTGTCCCTAAATGTCGTCCACTCATTTGAAGTACCAACAACATTTATATTATCTCCTTCTTCGACTCCATGGTCTCCGGTTCCCTCATCCACTTCACCGTCATTGTCAAATGGATTTACTGGCATTTCTTGAACCAAGAAATTGTGGAGGAGACAACATGCCATGATGATCCTGACTTTTTGTTTAATAGGATAATACGAGTTATCTCGTAAGATTGCCCACCTTGCCTTCAACATACCGAAACATCGTTCAATAACATTTCTCGCCGATGAATGCTTCATATTGAAAAATTCTTTGGCRGTGRTTGGTTGGTGTYCATCACGCCAATCATTTAAATGATATCTTTGACCCCTATAAGGAGCTAAGAAACCCTCTCCATTTGTGTATTTGGCATCAACCAAGTAATAACCTAGTAATAAATTAAGTTAATAAATCATCAAAACTTAACTTGTTAATATATAGTAAACTATTGTAAACGTTACCCGGTCTTGGAACTTTTAATCCATGAGGCCTAAGAAGAGCATCTCGAAGCACTCGACCATCAGCAACCGACCCCTCCCATCCCGGTAAGACATATATAAATTGCATATCTTGTGAGCACACCCCTAGCACGTTTGTCGCAATTTCATTTTTTCTTGTTCTATATCTAGGTTTGTCTTCTTCTGGAACTATACATTTTATGTAGGTTCCATCTAAAGCTCCTAGACAATTCTAGAACCAAGAAAATGAAGATCATTATATTTTCATAATAATTAGACTTATTTAGAAATAAGTAAATTTTAAAAAAAAGTAGAAATACCTTAAACCATTTCCATCTTTGATCGGTAGAGTTATCGGGAACAKGTTCAGGTTTCTTAAGCAATCGTGGATGTAACCTTATTACGGCATCGCACACTCGAGCAACAACTCTACTAATTGTTTC